GATTTATATTTTTTTTAGCAAGTTTTCCCATGATTCCTTTTTGAGAAATAGATATAATATAATTTGTAATAAATAAAAACTACCAAAATTTTTTTTGAATTTTTTTTCAAAATTTTTTTAACAAAGCATGAGTAAGTTTATAAGCTAAAATGATTTATTTGAATAAGCACTATCAAATGATTATTATTTTTTTATGTTACACAAAAATCACTTATTCTCAAATTTTTCCCATCATAATAAATTACCGAACTTCAAACTTATATAGCACTAGCAAAATTTATTATTTTTTAATCTAACCCAATAAGTTTAAAAGCTCTTGATATGCTTTATTAAAATTATCAGTTAGAATTTTAAAATATTATTTTTTGCTAATGTGACATCTTTTTGAAAATGTTATATTATAACTATAAAATTGGGTTGGTTATAGAAGTACCGCACTGTAGGGATTGGAATCGATTAATCGAAAATTGATAAAACATAGTAAAATCGATTCTCGAAAATCGATTCTCAACAATTTTTTACATGTAAACTAACCTGACTCCAAAGTAATTTTTCATGCTGGCCAAGTGCTGATTATTTTCGTTGAAATTAGAAACTGATTCAAAGTTAGGTTGGTCGTCTATAAGAAAAATCTTGAAAAGATTCGATTTTCGATTCCAATCCCTACATAGTATGTAGTCAAATAGGGGAAATTGAATTTTGTGCATTTTTGATGATACTCACGAATTTACATAGGGGTGACCTGCCGATATTAACTATAGGTATTACTATTCTAGTGGATTTAATAATATAATTGACTTTACTTTATATGGAATATTACTTAAAAGGTAGCTGTAATTATTTATATAGAAAGAATGGGTAATAATCTTAGCTTTTTCTCTATTTGTAATTTTTTGGAAGATTATTTGTTCTTGTATTGGTTAGTTCTGCACTTTGTTGTAGTTCTTTCTTGAATACCTGGTGTTTTTTAAAGTATCTTACGGCAAAAATTAATAAAATTCAAGTTCAAACTATATTAGACTAAAAAGTTACTCTCTAAGTTGTATATATAATGTCTAAAGTCTTCATAGTGATCTATTCATTATATTATGATAATCTGATTCTTTATTTTCCTATTCACTTTTTTTTTATTTTTGTTTCTTTACCATAAAGTGTAAACCTTTAAATATAAT